CGGTCAAGTTTCTATTACATCCTACCAATAAAAATTTATATTCTGTAGGTTGAGCTAACAGCTGCGGAAGTGGAATCACTTCGAACAGAACTTGCCGATATAGAGGAGAGGGAAGCTCACTTGAAAGCTCAGTGAGTGATGTCATCCTCAACTTTGTAATATTAATTGTTCACTAATTAGCAGAATTCTTTCGGTCACAATTCTTGTATCCTCTAGGGGTCCTGATATTATTCATAGAAGCTGCGTAGATGCTGTCATAAGTATTAAAATCTAGATAAGTGTGACTTTTTGAAGTGTTAAGAATAAAATGAGGACTTCCTTTTTCTTTCGTTGTTATCCATTTCACTCCTTACAAGTGATTCTTCCTGGTGTGCTAGACACAGTTACTCTTTAGTCTTATTTGTAGTTGAAATAGCTGCATTGAGAAAATAAAGAAATTAACTGTTTAATACCTATCTACCTATTCCTCCCCTTTCTGTGGGGAATTCTTGATTGGCTTAGGAGAGCTGGGGTGCTGTGCTTTCTTGTATAATGATTTATTAAATTAATTTTGTTTAACAATTAACACAGGTTGGAACATATTGATGAAGTTTTGCGGTCTGCTCGTTTATCTGGATATTTATACATTCGAACTGTACTAACTGCCTGCCCTACACCAGTTTATGTTTCTTTAGTTTGAGCTTCATTATTTATTTGACATAACAAGCTGAACTCATTTGCTTTTGCTCTCTCTTGTAAAGAGATGGGCAGCACTACCAGGAGAACCTGCACCGATAGATGATACTGAAGTAGATGATCGGCTTCCTCGTTTTGTTGTTCTCCATGGAGCATGTATATTTTTATATCTGTTGTGTACAGGTAATGCAGTAAGTCATGTTCTTTCATTCTTGCAGTTCTCATTTTTAAGAATTACTTTGCTTTAATATTAATGCAGTTAAATCTGAACAGTAAAGCTCTGCTCTCTGTTTCGTATTATTCTCCCGCGCCCCTCTATTTTTGAATATATAAAGAAATACCAATTTATTTGAAGATGTTTTATTCCTTTTTGAATGTTCTTGCTTGCTCCTAAACGATTTATGCTAGGTAGAATGCATGAAAGTGAATCCAGCGTAGGATATAGAATCTATAGATAACGGCAATTCTCTGTTTGTCATTGTATTGTTATTATACTCGATATTAGTCACATGAATTTGCTGACATACATATGATGCAGGAATTCAACTGTTTTAGTGAGGATAACTCTTTTGAATTGTCTGCCTGTAGGAATGATATCTCATCACAAAAGTGATGAAATGTCCGTTTCATTTTACCGAAACATAGATGTAAATAAAGAAGAGCAATCTATCCAGTTCACTCTTCAGATCTAAAATTTTTTTCAGACCAATTTGAGTTATCTAGGAGCCAAAAGATAGCGCAGGTTGATTTGTTTTGGTAACCCAAAAGTTTATTTGGTTCAAATTGGGCCAAACGGTCAAGACAAGCTTATTTAACTTAAAAAATTAATTATTATTTTTTTCATTTTTCTATCAATTATAACATAAGAAACATAAGAGGGGACTAGACTCAATTTTTTTCACTCTATCCACAACAAACACCACCCGAGAAAGAATATTCCATTGGAACACCCATGCTTTCAAATTATTTTCTCAACCAAATATGAACTTATTTTCATCTTTCAGTTAAATGCATGATGTGACTAATCAGAACGTCAAAATTTACCGGGCTTCACAATCTTTTTTCTACAGATAAATTACATTTGTGCCTTTTAAAATGTGGGTGGATGAGAAATGGAAGTGTTGGAAACCTCTTAATCACCGTGTGGAATGCCTTTTCAATAACTTTTATAATCAATTCCTCGGTTAGGAAAATTCATTCTCCATTGGATAGTACCACTTCTACTATCTTTAAGTTTGTTATTGACCATTTTTTTCTTTCAAATCAGAAGCTCGTATATAGGTATCGTCACCATATAGTTAAAGACGTTTAGATGACGTTTGTTTGGATTTCAACCTGTCAAGAATCAACTCTCCAAAAGCTTGAGCTACTGGAAGCTCCAAGAATTCTCTTTATAATTATTTAAAAAATTCCCTTTTATGTCAAAGGATGGACCAGCCGTAGACCCACCCTAATTTAAATAGAGTAATAGGAGCAGCAGCGGGGAATTTGCTGCTAGCTTAGTCAAGGAGACCCTTATGTCATGCTTAGAACTAGCTCTCCCATATGCATAAGCTATTTTGAAAAAGCCTAAATTTGTGTTTTAATCTGTCTTTGAAAAAGAACAACTGCACATGGTTCGCTCAATCAAACAAAAATTATTCTCAAGCTTTTAAATGATTTACTTTCATTTATAAAGCATCAATGCATGCTTTCTGATGAAGGGAAAACATTGCAGATATAAGCCCGCAGGACTCGACTCTTCTATCTGATATCATTGAAGTAGGGAGTTTACCATGTTTTAAGCAAGAAGATGATGAAATTCAGTATGCCTTTTATATTTTAACTCGTCATGGATTGCGATATGAATGCTCAAGCAGTTCTAAGATACAGGTGTGTTCACGTTAAGATAATTTGATTCTTAGTAGTACTTATTAATATTATTGTATTTTAGTTTTACACTCTGAACTATGTTAAGCAATTTTCATCCTTGATATAATTTTGATCACCTTCTAAAGTCAGTCACATGTCACCATTTCAATGATGTAGTTTGCCTCCAATGTTCTTCTTTCAGGTGGGCTCTTGGTTATCAGCTTTACAAAGCGAATGCAAATTGGAATGTGATACATTTCCTAAAGCTGACCGCAAACTGGAATCTGATACTTCAGTTCCCAATGGTTCGACTAAGATTTAATATAAGTACACCTTGTTTGGTGAGTTTAAGTGGCTTTTGTAAATCTTGGCTACTTTGTAAATAACGATGATATCTTGAAAGTAACTTAATAAAAACTAGTGATTTATTTGTGACTTTTTAAACCTTGCAATTTTAATGACCTTTCTATATGTATGTTAACTAGAGTTGGTACATCTTTATAAAGAGAAACATAAAATTGAATGCTTACACCTGAATAGTGACTATTGTGGCATCTTGAGGTTTAAAAAAGGATAAAAACTCTGCATGAAGATTGGTGGTTATACTTTTGTTCACGAACAGCATTATGAGTTGTTAGTGTCCAACTTTCATTATCTTCCTGGGGAGATTATGATAAGCTGTAAATTATATTGTAGGCATAAAATAGTGATATAAAGAAGTGGGAGGGGGTAAAAGTTGATAGTTGGGTTACAAAAGATTTTCATTCGTGTCATGGGAAAGACTTCTCCCCTCTGCCCCTACTGAAATAATAATCAAGAAAAATGTGAATGCCAAGATTATACGGTGAATGTATTTAGAAATGAGTGTGAATTAAGCTCTATTTCACCTCAAAAACTAAACTAGAGAGGATTATCCAAAAGTCATTATAGGAATGCCTTCGACGTATATCAAGTGAATGGTTGGGCGATGCTTTACGCCCCTTATAGTAACAAAAAGGAATAGAAGTGAAAATCAAATTCGAAAGGGGTGCCAATTTTAGCTATAACGGAGAGATATTTGCGGCTTGTGTTTCCCATCGGAAATTCTTCTTATTTAATCTTACTATTAGTATTATTTCTTATTATTATTTTGATTAAAAAAAAAGAAAAAAAGACAGGCAGGCAGTTACTTAATTGATTATGTGGTTAAAATAGTTTTTAAACACATTTTTTGGCCTAACATTGCTGAAGAAAAAATTCCACGTTTTGGTGGACAATCTTGAGAGTGAAGTTGATTCCACAATTTCTTTTTATTTTTCCATCTCCGTTTCACTGAAGCAAATGAAGTGGGTCACGTTTAGGTAGTTAAAACTACTATACTCAGACATTTAAAAAGGTGAGCACAGGTTACAAGCTAAATTTCCTTGATTGCAATCGAGACTTGAGCCTCATCTAAGAAACTTTTCTTTGGTTCTTTTTGTCCAAATGCAACAGTACCACGTAAAGTATTTGACAAGAGAGGGGGTTTCGTTATGATTTTCCAGGAAACAAGAATCTATAAAAGAGCATTGTTCCCTACCTCTATCCCTCTTTTCTCACCCTTTAAACTAAATCAATCATTCATCAATCTTATTATCACTACATCATCCTTTTCAACCATCATTTCTCTTGCTATTATCCTTTGTACATAATAAAATCTCTGTCTCCTCTGCTGTTAATAATTTCACTTCAGCCATCCCTCCTCCGGTTGTTGGACTTATTCTGTAACATAAATGCGGATGTCCCCTGCAGCTAGAAAACAACTTTAGGATGAGCAGTTCAATCTCTCACCATCCATTTTTAATTATTTTTTCTGTAAAAGTTTAATGCATATTAGCGGTTGAGATACATGCACCTAAAAGTTAAATTGGAGAATAGTAGGAAAATATGCTAAAGTTTTTTATATTTTTTAATTCAGTCATGAAAATTTCTTTATCGTTAAAGATGATGATACGGAAATCATATGTAACAATCTGGTTATTTAACATGTCAATTTTAATATTATTTTATATTGATAAAAAATACTTTTATACTTATATTATTAATGTATAAAGATAAGTTACTAAAATAATAGTCTTATCACCTAATTAAAAGTATGAACCTAAAATTTAGTTAATCCAAATAAAAAAATTAAAAATTTATGCGATTTGTATAACTAATATTTTACATGTGAATGCTTGTTTGGTGAGAGTAAGAAGTAGAGAATGCAGGAAGCGCACAGATATAGGGGGAGGAGGTTGGAGAGGATCTTATTCCGAGCACGTGGGCTCAAACATCATGGGCAATGTTTGACCGTAGTAGTAAAGTTACTTAATTAACCCTAACTCTCACTACGTGCTCACATACACACCACCCGTTTCCAATTTACACATCCTACCAAAACTACCGAAAAGTTAAAAAAACAAAAACCCAAGGACCAAATTGCAAAGGTAGGCGAAATAAAAGGAAGCGATAATCCTTGATCATTCTTCACCGTTGCATCCTTGTGTTCTCTTCTTCTGCTCTGTCACTCAGAACAATCTACTCGAAGCCAAGAAGATGGCCTCACAGGTTTGCAAATCTGCTTCAAGAGCCGCGAGGTCCCTTCTTTCTGCTTCCAAAGCCTCTCGTTTTCACTCTCGTAACTACCTCCTATGCCTTTTTCTCATCATCATTTTCCAATTGCCTTTTTTTTTAATTTAAACCTTTCTTATACCCTAACCACTATATCGTCGTGCTAAAATTAAACCTTCATGATTCTCAGTTTTCTTTTTAATTTTTTTTATACAATTTGCGCGAACATCTGTTTTTTTTTTTTTTTTGGATTGGAAATATCCGTGTACTTTGTTATGGTTTTCGTTAGGAACCGATTGGAAATGTGAATGGGTTGAATTTAGATGTTTTGTGTTTCGCTGAGACGAAAAATGAATTTTCGCTTTTACAGAAGGACGTGCGGTTGGGGCTGCTGCTGCTGTTTCATTGAGCAGCAAAGTGCCTCTTTGGTCCTCGAGTCATGGGAGGAGCGGTTCTGGAAGTGGATCCGCGTCATCATGGATTTCGGGAGCCATTGCTCTTCCTGCTGCAGGTTTGGTCAGCAATAACTGTTGAAACAATGCATTTACTTTTTGACTACTGTGTGTGTTTGTGATCACAAAGTGACAAACCGGATATGTATTTTAATTGCTACGAATGGGCATCTTTAATCCTGCGTGCCACTATCGTTTATATCATATATTTGTCTACAATGAGTAGATCTACACTGTACAATTAATATAGATGGTTAAGATCTAAGTAAGATGTACATATATAAAAATGTGAATCTGATACAACAGACAATGCAATTATTTTAAAAATATATATAATACAATTGTTTGAGATACATATCTAGTCATGTAATAGAATTTCATAAAATTAAGATTAGATTTAACTAAAAATCATAAGCATCTTAATCAATTACTTATATGAGATGCCGATTGGGTGTCAAAGGAGGAGGAGCCTCGTCCCTTGCTGCTTAATAGTAGCAGCTGTGGCTTTCGGGACCTCTTCAACATCAATAATACTATTTTTGGATCAAGTTATGTTTTTGGATGTCATACACTTTTAATTCCCTTAACATCCCCTACATAGTAAAATATTTCAAAACTTTAATCAAGTCTTTTTAGATTTAACCAATTTTTGACACAGTAACTTAACACTTTAACCGATAGTGACCCAATAGAAATGACACGATAGGTCTAACAGGTTTTAACTTATGGTTATGGTTTTGATATTATGTTAAAATGTAGATTTATATTCACTTGTATCGATTTTTTTTTATCTATAGTAGGATGTGAAATCGGATTTCCGACAAAAGTTTTAAGCGTCTGCTTATATGCTTTGAATTAGTTGGTGGGATCTTAACATTAGTGCAGGCTTCCTTTAACTTGGTATTCTGCTACTGATTTTATTTTATTTTCTTTTTCTTCTGTTGTGTCTTGAAGCTTACATGTTCCAAGATCAGGAGGTGCACGCAGCTGAGGTACGCTTTACATTTCTTTAACGAATTCTCCTTGCCTTTTACGCTGATACTGCTGGTTGCGTGCTGTTTTCCCTGACACGATTATAACGTGTCTACTTTTTCTTACACAGCTGGAGCGCACTTTCATTGCCATCAAGCCTGATGGAGTTCAGAGAGGGCTGGTAAAGTGAAATTTCATTTCTTGCACTTCTTTATGATTTGTTTGTGAAACATTGTGAACAAGTAAGTGCAACTTTGTCATCACGTGTCACAATATGGTCCCTACTTTGAGAAATGATTACCGAGTATGGAAATACAGTCTCAACTAATCTTTGCTTAATCTTATTTAAAATGTTATTAATTCTTTTTTCTATATTCGTTAATTTAACTTTCACACATACATTAGTCGAAACATGAAATCCTTATAATTTGGGACTATCTAATTCTCTCTTCCACACTTCTGACCTTTGTTCAGGTTTTGCTCACCATTTTTGTTTTTCTCCTTTTCAGATTTCTGAGATTATATCTCGTTTTGAGCGGAAAGGGTACAAGCTTGTGGGAATTAAAGTAGTGATTCCTTCAAAGGAATTTGCCAAACAGCACTATCACGACCTGAAAGAAAGACCCTTCTTCGATGGGTTGTGTGATTTCCTAAGCTCTGGTCCTGTTATTGCAATGGTTAGAAAATAGAAATGACTCAACCTCTGATGACAGGAATAAAAAAACCAGTGTTCTTAATTATTTTTTTGTTTCCCTAAAATTCATGTCACAGGTGTGGGAAGGACAGGGAGTTATTTCCTATGGCAGAAAGCTAATTGGAGCCACAGATCCCCAGAAATCAGAACCTGGAACAATTAGGGGTGATCTGGCTGTTGTTGTTGGAAGGTAACCAATTGTTCTGCAAATAAATTTGCTAGTTTTGTTTCTCTTTACACAATGCTTTGTACATTATTTGGTCATCACAAATTTGATTATAATTGTCTTGTGCTGTACAGAAATATCATTCATGGGAGTGATGGTCCCGAAACTGCCAAGGATGAGATTAATTTGTGGTTTAAGCCAGAGGAGTTAGTTAGTTTCACTAGCAATGCAGAGAAGTGGGTTTATGGTGCCAATTGATTCTTTCTCTCATGCCTTGAGTTTTTCTATAAGCTCGGTGAGTTTTTTTGGAATAAGTCATTTTTCAGCGGCTATACTGAACTCTGCAAGCCACAAATAAGCGCGATTGAGATTCGTAGCGTTAATGTATTTTAATAGGAATTGCGTTATTTTATTACTAGTGTGACATTCATTATGCCAATAATTCTAAATGGGTCAATTGGCTTTTTCTTGAAAAGACTGTTCATCTTATAATACAAAACTTGTGGGAGACTTTAAATCTTTCAAGAATATTAGGTAATGAATTTATAAATAATTTCTTTTAAAAGTCTATTAATAAGTTGTATTATTAATATGCAGCAGTGTATTTTTGAGGAAAATTCTTTAAATTTCTTAATTTAGGTTCTTTTTTAAACATTATTCTGCTCCAAATAGGGAAATAAGGTTATATATGTATATGATAAAAAATATTTACTAATTTTATGAATACTAATATTAAAAAAAAAATCTACATTTTTATATAAGATCTTTATATTTATCTTTACAAGGCTTTTTACTAAAATAACTATAGTATGGACGATGAATTCTTGTAAAAAAAAAAACTCTGGTGATCTCTAAATATATCTTTTATACTTTTACGCTGTTTAGATTTTTTTTTTATATTCTTACATCTTAAAAGTTAAATTATAAGGTCTTTTATATAGTAATAAAAAGTTATTTAAGAGCTCAAACTGTGGTTTGTTATAAAAGTAAAATTTAGATGAACTTTTATAAAGTCTTGTATAATGAGATAAGAAAAACTAGAACATAAAATATCATAAGATTTTACTAAAGATGCTGCAATTAAATTTTTTTTAAGAAATATTCTCTTCTAGAAACTCGTCGTCACTTAAATCAACTACTTAATAAATTATCCTAATATGACGGGTTGTAACAAATAAAAAGCCCTATAAAATTTATGAAATCTAATACGAATTGAGGTGGACCATGGTTACATTAAAAATTATTTTTCAATGCAGTTCCTCGTGATGAATGCGAGTTATTTTATCATTATGATGTAATTTCATCGTAATGAAATTATAAGAGTGCTGCAACTTATGAAAGAATTTTGAATTTGGACCAACTACTTGTCCAGATTATGACTTAATAAAACTTTATTAATATTTGGTCTAAGACAAGAGACGCATAAGATTCAAATATTATTTCTAGGTTGATTTCTGATTATATTTACATAACAATAATGACATTTTGAAATGATTCTCGGAATAAAATTTTATTTATAAAATATGTTTCAATGACATAGTGAGAATATCATATTATTCCACTATTTTTTTTAGTTTACCAAATAATTATTAATGTTAAGTAATGAAGAGCTAATAACCATATTGAAAAATAAAAACTTCAATTAAAAATCGATGTATATTCACATTACACAATTCCTCAAAAAATCTCAAATTAATTAGAAGAATTGTATACTGTAAATTGAGACAAAAAATCTTAAATTAAATGTTAACTTTTCGACAAAGTGTATAAAATTCTATAAATAATAAAATGAAAATTTTAAGTAACGATTTTTAAAAAAAAAATGTATTTGTTTGACTAATTAGGATTACTTACTAATTTAAATAGTGATTAAAAACATTGACCGATTCAATTCAAGATAAAAATATATAAAACTACTAAATGTTAAAGTTATAAAGTTATTTAAGAAAAATTTCACCAATGTTGAATTATCTTTTTCGTTTAACTTGGGACAAATTAACTTTTGTTTCATGTCCAATTACTTTTTTTTTTCAATCTTCAATCTTCCTAGATAGTTATCCCAATAAAAAATAATTAAATCTTTATTAAAAATATATAAAAATTATACATATTTCCATAAAAATAACACAAAATAAATACATAAAAGACAAATAATATATTCTAATAAATATGAATAATGAATATTTATCATACTTGTCATTAATTACACTAGAGAAATTATCATATAAAATATCAACTTTTTAATAATACATTAATTTTTCAAATATTTTTTTTTATATGGGAATGAAGTCATATTCATTTGTAATTTCATGGTGATATGTATAATACTTTTAAGATTTTCCTTAAACAGGGAAAAGACATATTATAAAGATTTTTTTTCTACTCTTTTAATTTTGTCGTATTTAATGTAATTTTATTTTATTTTTATTGTTTGCGTTAATTTGTACTGTGTTCATGGAAATTTCTTTATTGATAGAGAGAAAAAAAATCATCTATGTTATCATTAATGAATCTATTTACAGAATGACAATTAGTTTTTATGTGACAAATGTTTAAGATAAAAAATATTCAGCCATAAAATTAAGGTAGTTTATGGATTATTACTTAATTCATTATTCTAATATGGTCAAATTATTGATTTTGGCGAATTTATATTTTTCAAATTAGGCTTAAAAATTTTTGAACATAAATTTAGATTATTTTTTCACTTTGATAGATGTTTAATAATGTTTGAAACCTTATTTTTCACTTTAGATTATTTAGATTATTTTTCACAGTGAAATGGTAACTTGCTTTTGGATACACATGTAGTAAAAAATACAATATACATGGAATAAAAAAAATAAGTATTATATAATGGTGGAAGCAGTTTAAATTATTCTTTTATAAATAAGAGTTATTTACAATTAAAAATTACGTATTTGAGTCCGATTTAAAAAAAATTACAAAAATAGTTAAGTCTTGCTTATTCGAATGACTTTATTTTAAAGAAATCGTTATTTAAATGAACAATTTCTGACTTTTAAAGCTTAAGTCATGAAAAGACAAAGATTTTAATGAAAATATTAAAATTGTGAGCCTAAATAGTGACTTTAATTTAATTAATTATGTTTAAACGAAGTTATCATGCAAATAACATATGACTTTAGAAAAAATACAATAAAGTTGACTAAAAGTTTTGATTTCTTCTAAATTCAAAAACACTAAAATCGTACAACTAAAGACTTTAGTGTAATTGTTGTTGAATAAAAGTTTTGAACTAAAATCATGTTTACTGATAATGATTTTGGTGTATATTTTTTATTTATGACTTCTCTCTCTATTTAGATTAATTCATATACATAAAATTAATTACTGTATAGTTAACTTCATAACTTATATTTTTGTTATTAAAAGGACTCCTTAGATAATTAAAATATTCTAGATTATTTAAAAAAAAAATCACCGAACACCTCCAAAGAACCTCCAAAGGTAAAAGTTATTTCTACATAATATCGTAAACAATTCATTATATTTTACTCTGTAAAATTTCTTACACATTGAAATGATTTTCTTTCTGCAATTTATGTCGAAATTGAGAAATAAAAGAAAATAGAAAAAATAGACGGCAATGAGTAACTAACTAGCTTGGTAACGGAGAAAAAAGTGTGTAGTGATCTGAAATGAATGACCAATAATAGATTTGAATTAAGGTTAGAAATTGAGAAGGCATTGAGAGAAAAGAGAAAAGAGAAAAGAGAAAAGAGAAAGGAAAAGAGAGAAGAGACCATCTCTTTGTTGATTGAGGGATGGCAGAAAAAACGTTAATCGTAGAAGTGGAGAAAGCGAAAGAGGGCACAGAAGAAAGGCCATCAATGGGTCCTGTCTACCGTAGCGTTTTCTGCAATGATCCAACTCCTCCTCCCATACAAGGTCTCGACACATGCTGGGATATTTTTAGGTATACACAAATCCCATTGCAACTTTTTTTTTTTTTTTGAAGCACAATGTCCATAATCATAATTAGTTATTGTTATTATTTCACCTTAATTATGCATAATGTAACATACATTTATATATACCAGTTCGGATTTGAATCTTGTGAAAAAGACTAGTCCCTTCTAGCAATGTGTCACATTAGTGTTTAAGTCACATTTGGAGGAGGATATTCATTACAACAAAAAACCAACAACCATGACAATCAACTCCCTATATGCTTCAATATATAATAAATCTTTCGGTTTTGTAATAGTTATATTTAGTTTGATTTTTAATGTATTCACTGCGTAAAGATCTTTACAGTACTATTATATATATATATATATATAT